AAGAGGGATTCCAAGGAGTCAGGTGTAATCAAATGACCCCAGAACCCCAATCACCTCCCTGTGCAGGGGAATTCAACATTTCCATTCTAGCCCGGGTCTCATTGCCAAAATGTTCATTGGGATTTCGGTTTGCCCTTCTCCATTCTAGGATTTTTTTTGGTTCTTTGATCCTATACCTTAACAGCTAACAAGAAACAATCTCTGAATACTCACAGAATGGCAGAGCTGGGTGTATTCGGCAGATAAACACAGTAACGGGGGCCTCGGAAGCACTGCTATTGGGCCTGTGATAGGGAATGTGGCAGAATAAATCCTCCACTTTGTGTCATCCTCTGCATAGAAAGAGTCTGGGTCTATTACATCTTATAAGGAAAAAAAAAAGATATTAAAGAGAAAATAAGATCATAGTAATAAAAGTCTGCCTGTGCATTAAAGGGTTGGAGACATAATCATACAGACCTGAATCTACTTATTTTCTAGGCTTCCTTTAGCAAATTTTCTTTGCTTGGTTTCTATGGAAACTGGAAACTGCACATGAGCTAAAGACACTCAATAGTCCTCCCTAGCTGGTGTGTCCATTTTAGATTTCTCTGCTTTAAGTGACATCATGTTGTAACCACTAAGATTAAAACACACTCACACACACACACCCCAATCCATGCCCTGTACTCGCAGAATTATTGCTGAGAAGGTCAATGTTGAGAGCTACCGTTTACTGAGCGCTTACTATGCTCCAGGACACATACTAAACAATTATAGGCTTTAACTTGATCCTCCCAATAGCCCAGTTAAAAATACAACTCTCTTCCTTGTCTTAAGGGGAGCCGACACATCTCAGCCCACTGAACTGCACCAAGAAGTGGTACCCAGGCAGGAAAGCCATGTTTCCATCTTCCCATACATAGAGAATTCCAGGTGGAGGAAGGGGAAGGACAGAGCGCAGGCTCCTGCCCAGGAAGGCAGGCACACTGCCAACCAATCCCCTCCTTCAGCAGCCACTGCCTCTCCACCCTCACCCACACCAGGCCAAGCTCGACCACCAAGGCAGCGCCAGCCTTGGTGTGGAAGGAACACCATGCACGGTGGCAACAAAGCTCCTAGGTTCCCAAGGCAACAAGCTCATCGGTCTCCCCAGCCTGAAAGGACTCCCTTAGCCAGTCCCTGGAGTAAAGGATTGAAGACTCCTCCCACCATTAAGATACCAATGGGTAAAGCCCTCCTCCAAGCACCAACATGCCTCCTGAAAGTGGGCTCTCCAATGGCCTAACCCAGGGGTGGGCAAACTTTTTGACTCGAGGGCCACAATGGGTTCTTAAACTGGACCGGAGGGCCGGAACAAAAGCATGGATGGAGTGTTTGTGTGAACTAATATAAATTCAAAGTAAACATCATTACATAAAAGGGTACGGTCTTTTTTTTTTTAGTTTTATTCATTTCAAACGGGCCGGATCCAGCCCGCGGGCCGTAGTTTGCCCACGGCTGGAACCGGACAGCAGGGCTCTGAAAGGATGGGCTGCTCCAGCCCCTCGTCTGAGCCTCCCATCGGCTCGTGGCAGGTCTGGTGTTCCGCTATGGTTGTTTGGCCCTCTTTCTCCTGAAGCTTCCATACCCTCTACCAAGCTCCATGTTTTCTTTCAATCCCCTTGTCCCAATCCCACCTCTCAGCCCATCAGTGACGCCCACAGCGCCATTCCAGACCCCACCCACAATGGCCATTCCTTCCTCTGGCCTCTCATAGCTTTTAGTTTAAGAAATAAATTACTTGGTAACTTTGATTCTTAGTTAGACAGGTATTTATTTCCACTCTGCTGGTTGCTGTGTTCCGACCACATTTATGCTCAATAAACTCTCGCTGAATAAATGAACAAATGACAGTTTGGAATCGGAGGAGATGGGCCAGACAGAGCTATGGAGTGAGCACCTGAGGAGGGCCCCAGGAGGCTGCTGGGAAGCTTGGAGGGTACCTGAGGGTGCTCTGGGGCAGCAGAGGCCTCAATAGGGAGAAAGAGGGGCTCCATATGCAAATCCTGACACCCAACAACCCCTGATGTCTAGTCAGGACCCTTTGAATTGCAAGTCACAGAAAGTCAACTAAAATTGGCTTAACAAGAGGGAATTATTGGCTGTCATGGGTGGGAGGATATTGGAGTGGCTCATGGAATGAGAGCAGAGTTCCATAAACCCACACCCCAGGAGAGAAAATACAAGACCTAGAAAATGCCTCTCTTTTCTCCTTCCATCCCCTCCCCTCTCCTCGCCTCGCCTCTCTCTTTCCTCGCTTCCCTGTATCTGAATTCCAGATATGTTCATCTCACATCACACCTCTCTCTGCTCTCTCGCCCCCTGCTTGTTCTATCGCTCCATCTCAATTGCACTGTCTCTGTTTAATCCCATTCTCTTTTACAGCAGAGACTGTCTCATGTCAGAAAAAAGAGCTCCTCGCTCTCTGGCTTCTCACAGCTGGCTCCCTCCCCGGCACCACCTCTGCAGGGGTGTAGCCAACCACACCTGGGCAGGGAGGACTGTGGAAATGGACGGAGCCTGGAGTCTCCTCAGAGCTCCTCACTGCCCATCAGCTGGGCTCGGCCTCCACATCTAGCTCCGTAACTTAAACACACAGCCTCAACTTGTCCCAACCTGTCCTCCGTGCAATCACAGACCTCTCTCGTGTCTCCTAAACCTCTCCCTTCAGCACTAAGGGGCTTTATGGGCACTGAGCACTCACAGACCCAGCAGACTCCGTGCAGATGTGATACGATGACCATTAAAATACATATTTACATCGGCAGTGCATCGCACAGCAGCCATTTATCCAAGACTTAAAGACACCAAGACACGTGAGCTTGGGGTGTTCTAACAAAAGCCTTTCAGATTCCAACCTGTATTCTCCTTGGTCGTCATCACTGTCCGGCAGATGCCACCTGCAGTATATTCCATTTTCTTTCCCCCATCTTTGTATTTGTGAAGATAAAAGCAGTTTGAAACGAGGAGTTGAAATTACCCACATTTAGACCACTCTGTTGGAAGTTGAAATCTCTTTGTTTTTCTTCTTGATTTCTCTGCGTATAAATACAGTGTTATCAATAGTTGTCTTTCATGATCAAAGATCACGGTGATAGTTTCCCAAAAGACAAGGGAGAATGAAAATCATCACCATCATCTACATAAGATCACAGTAAGCCTCTGTGTCATTTTGGCCAGTGCTATCTAGTGTCTGACAACCTCCGTCAGGTTGCTAACCGTCCTGAAACCTACCGAGCCCGGGTCCACTACATCTGTCCCTCAGAGCCACACTTGGTGGACTTTGTAACAAAAATTCATTTCTTTAAGTACCTGCTACTGGTACATGCCAAGCACTGTTCTAAATAGTTTCCATGCCCTAGCTGGTTTAGCTCAATGGATAGAGCAATGACCCAAGGACTGAAGGGTCCGGGGTTCAATTCTTGTCAAGGGCCAATATCTCAGTTATAGGTTTGATCCCTGGCCCTGGTCGAGGCACATGCAACCAATTGATGTGTCTCTCTCACATCGATGTTTCTCTCTCCCTCTGTCTCTCCTCCTTCCTTCCACTTTCTCTAAAAAGTCAATGGAAAAAATATCCTCGAGTGAAGATTAACAATAAGTAAATAAGTAAATACATAGTTTCTGTGTGTTATCTCATTTAATCCTCCTGAAACCCCTCCACAGTAGCTATTGCCAATATCCCCATTTTACAGATGAAGTAACTGAAGCCCAAGAGATGGAGTCATTTGCTCATGGGGCTGGTAAGAATTCAGACTCGAGCAGCCTCACTGCAGAGCACAGACGCTGAGCCCTAACCCTACTACACCATGAGGCCAAATGGAGAGCCATCGTTCAGCCAAGCTGGAGGCCAACCGAGGCACCGCCCTTCACAGCTTATCCGCACACCCTGTTTAGAGACAGAGGGTCCCAGAGACCAAACCAGTCCTGAGCCTCACTGCCACTCCCCATGGCGGCACTCTGCCAGCAGGTCTGCACACCAGCAAAGCCTGCCCGGTTCTCTCTCCAGGTGCAATGCCATCTGAAACTTGGTCCGTACACGATGTTTCCAGGCAGCCCTTCGAGCTGTGACAGTCCACTACTTCCTTCTCCTCCCCGCCCCACACCCTCACACCCTCGGCCAGTCCACATGTCCCTATGCTAATTGCCCTTTCCAAAGTTAACATTTCCAAATGGCAGGATAAGTTCAGAGTCATTTAAAGGAAAAACAGGCGTAACTGAGACATACTATGAAAATGTTAGGTTTTCTTCTTTTTTTTAAATCTCATCCTTGCCCTCCCTATAGATTCGGTGAGCTCAAGTGGCCTCCTGTTTGTTGTTTTTCCCAGGGAAGATCATTTCAGTTCGGTTCCCACTGTTTCATAACACAAGAGCTCAACTTACACGCTTCCAAACAGAGGGATGGGTGCTCAGTTTTGTTCTCCTCTTCCCTCAAGAAAAAGCCTCAATCTCAGTTGCAGGCTTAAACAGACTTAACAGCCATAAGCCCCATAAGCTCTGGCATGCCATAAATAGTCCTTTTCATCAGGAGCTGCAAATCACAATTCTACTGTAAAAGCCAGAGCGACTCAGAGAGCTGCCCACAGCACCGAGCCTGGGGCCTTGCCTTTTAGTGGCATTTAATAAAGATTTGTTGATGGAGCGATTGATCTGGGTCTCCCATATCAGGTGTAGCCTGAGTTTCTTAGATTTTTTTAAAGGGATTTCAACTAAGATTTAAAACCACCTCTTAATGCTCCAAGCTCTCCATTCCCATAGTCCTTTGGGCCCAGTATCGTCGAACCTATTTATAATGCATGAATTTCAAAGCCCCTGTGGGGACCAGAGGGCAAGAAGGAAGGCAGGACAGTCCAGTAAAAGGCCCTACGCCATCTGGGCTATGGCACAGTAAGAAGCAATGTCCTCATGACAGCCTGGAGGAGGTGAGAAAGGGAACCTCTGGATCATCAGAAAAATGTAAACTAACAATTTGGTCTTACCGGTTGAGAGCTTTGGAGTCAGGAATCCTCCTTCCACCACCCTGAGCTCTGGGGCCTTAGGCAGGTGACTCAGCATCTCTGGGCACCGATTTCCTCATCCACACCAGCACCTGGGCTTCTGTCAGGATCGAATGAGGAAACATGTGGTGAGCCCCTGAGCTACTCTCTGCATGCATCCTATATAATAAGGAGATGATATGCAAATTGACCCTCACTCTGTCACGCTGTCACAGATGACTGCACCCACAGCAGAGGTGGGGTTCCTGTAACAAGCGATCAGCAGAGACCTGAGGCTGTGCCACCCCACCCCAGCGGGGCTTGACAGGGGACCTCAGGCCACGCCTGAGGGTGTGCTGGGGGACCTGAGGATGCGCCCTCCGCCTGGCACACGGCCAGAGGACCTGTGGCTGCACCCCCCCCACCCCCCCATCCAGCGGGGATTGACGGGGGACCAGAGCTGTGCCCCTCCACCCAGCAGGGTTTGACAGGGGACCTGAGGCTGCAACCGCCCACCCAGTGGGGCTTGACAAGGGTGAGGCCAGCCGGGTCTGAGCCTCACGCGATTTTGAGGTGCACGCAGGTGGGCGGAGACTTGACTCTGGGTCCCGCAGCATGCCCCAGACTCTGACAGGAGGAAGATTTTCATATACATTTTACTAACTTTCTTTCATCTCTGACATTTCTATTACAGAGAAAGGGCAAATAGCAATGTTAAAATATTTCCTCTAATTAATTCCCTTTTAATGTGCACAAATTTTGTGCACTGAGCCACTAGTGTTATAAATAATCAGCTTAGCAATACAGCAAAGGAAGTTTTACTGTGCTTCTAATTTTATGAAAATCGAGGGTCCATATATACCAATTATGGTAACTCAGCTAACCAGAATATTCAACTACATAGAATACCTGCATCTCCCCAAATGCCTGACAGATGGGAGCTCGCATTACATATCAAAGTGCTGAGGGTAGTAGAAACAAAGTCAGGGTCCATAATAAGTGAGTTTAATTGGGACCACAAAACACTCAAGATGCTAAAATAAAAGCACACCACACTGTTGTAAAGGGAGTTATAACTCAGGGAACAGGTATGCTGTAGGAGCTACTCCAACTTCATAAAAAGCCCCTTTCATCAGCATGGGGAAGAAAGAGCGCTGACTGGGTCTCTCTCCATGTTCCTGTTTTAGTCATCAGACTTGAGCAAGAAAAATAAAGGGAGAGGGATGTCTATATATAATTAGGAAGCAATTAAAGCCACATAAACACAGCTGTAGATAAAAATACAGGTAAGGGAATTCTTTAAAAAAATTAAATGTAACCTATCAGCAGGCAGAATGAAAATGGGTCCCGAGGCAGTGAAGAAACTTGGTAATAAACTAGCTGCACCCCCACCCACCCAGAAAAGGAAACGTGTGAGGGCCAGGCCATTTCGTATTGCGTTTTGACGTGAGCTTGGGTGAGAGAAGCTGCTTGGGTGACTGAGTAACTAACTTTCAGGGAAAGAGGAGCCGTGAAAGGACAAGGGAGGGAACAGCTGGGAGTTTCCCTTGCTCGGCCTTTCTCCGCAGTTACGACATCACGTTTCAAGGAGGGATCACTGTCAGGGTCAGAATGACCCAGGCTACATAAAGAAATCAATTCCGCGAGTGTCTACTGAGCACCTCCCATGTCCAAGGCACCATGCCATGTGAGAGGTACAGAGATGGGCAAGGCTGGTCCCGGATCTCCGGAAACACCCAGACCACAGGGACAGCAGCTGTGAGCACAAGGTTAAAGGCAAGTGATGCTGTGGCAGTTACATGCTGAGCACAGGGGCACAGGAGGGAGGTGAATTTCCACCAAGTGTATCAGGAAAGGGTTCCCGCAAGAAGTAGCATTTGAGCTGACCTTGAAAGGTGGATAGAGAAAATGCTTCAGGCAGGGTAATGACATTCGTTCATCCACCCACTCATCTCTCTACCCATCCATCCATCCATCCATCCACCCAATGAACAAACAGCTATTAACAAATAGCTACTGATGGCAGAATTTTGAGTAAAAAGAGATAGAATCCCCATCCTTGAAAGCTTTTCACGGAAGAATTGAACCTTCAGATGTAAATGGCGGTGTGGCAACTGGCCTTGAGGGGTGGTCCAAGGTTCTGCCTGGGGCTCTAACAGGAATGGTAGATCGGGCAGAGAAGTTAGGGAAAGCCTTGCTGAGAAAGTGATGGTGGAACCAAGAACTGAAGGGGCAGCCGGAGACATCCAGGCAAAGAGAGGGGCCTGCAGCATTCCCAACTGAGGGAGAGACATGCTTGAAGGTGGGAAAGAAGCGCTATGAGAACAAGGGGCTGAAACCGTCCAGGAGTCTGGAGCATGGCGTAGGGGGGATAGTGTGTGGAGATGAGACCACAGAGCCCAGCAGGGGCACGTGGGGTCTTAAGTGGTCTCGGTGAGAAGCTCCCACCCTTCATTCTAAGAACAATGGACAGTCTTCGGAATGGTTCAGTTGGTTCAATTATATGAAGAGGAGGGAGGAGGTGGGCATGGTGAGAGCTTTATTTTGGAAAGATCATCTGGCTGAATTGCAGACCAGAGTGGAAGAACCAGTGGTCCAGCAGGAGGTATGGAAAAGGCCAGGGCCGGGACAGCAAGTGGGCATGAGGAGCAATAATGTCAAGGGCTATTTAGGGGTAAGTCAACAAGGCTGCAAGCTAGATTATGGGGCTTTGGTAAGGAAAAGGGAGGTGGCTCGGATACGTTTGGCTCTCAGGACTGGACAGATTGCAGTGCCAATCACCCAGATAAGGCCAATGGGCAAGGACCATTGTGACAGAGAGAGATGAGCTGTGGGGATTAAGAGGTTTGAAGGTGTGGTCAATGTATGTCTCTGCAGTAAACTTTATGTCCCCTGAGGGCAGGATTCTGTCTCTTTTTTACAAAAAAGTGTGGCCTTGGCAACTAGTGCAATGTCTGACGGATAGCAAGCGCTCTGAAAATGCTTGCTACTTGAGTAGCTAGTGGGACGAATGGATGACCTTGGTTTTGGACACATAAAGTGTGAGGCGGTTTAAGACACCTGAGAGATGAGATGTCAGGGACAAAGTTGGAGAGGTGGACTGCTGCTCAGGAGAGAAGTCAGGATGGGAGCTAGAGATGCATGATCACCCAAAGAGAGTAGCTCAAGGGAGAGGAACAGGCCCTGGATCCAGCCTTTAGGAATCCCGACAGGTCAGGGCCAGGCAGCAGAGGGCAAGTGCACAAAGGAGAAAGAGAAAGGGCAGCCAAAGTCGGAGGGAGTCTTTCAAGAATGAGAGAGTGGTCAACGGTGTCGATTGCAAGTAAGATGAGAACTGAAAAATGTCCTTTGGATTTAGCAACACTGAGGTCATCGGTGACCTTTGTGGGAGCTGTTTTTGTGGAGCGATGTGGTGGAAGCCAGATTGGAGGGGGTGAGGAGTGAGGAGTGGGAGGTGATGAAACGGTGACAGGGCGTCGACACAATCTTAGGAGAAGTTTGGCGGTGAAGAGGAGGAGAGAGGTAGGGTAGAAGCTGAGAAAGGCAGGGGTGTGCCCAGCAGGTCTGAGATGGGACAATGACCAAACAGGACTAGAACAGTGGTTCTTGTCCATTTTTTTCCTGCCCCTCCATCCCCTAAGGAACAGACACCCCAGATCATGAACAGAAATCAGAACATCCAGAGAAGGAGTTGATTTGACTGGGGCAATGAGCTTGACTTCTGGAGACGTTAATGGGGAGTAGGGCGTAGGTAGGGTACCTGGAAATACGGTCCCGGGCAGCATCGTCAAACTACAGCCGCTGACCAAATCCAGCCCCCACCCCCTACCTGTTTTTATATGGCCAGCCCATGAGCTGAGAATGGTTTTTACATGTTTAGATGGTTGAAAAACAAAAAGGAGAATAGTATCTCGTGAGATGTAAAAAGTATATAAAGTTCACATTTCAGGATCCATAATAAAGTTTTATTGGAACACAGCCACATTCATTGACATACCACCTGTGGCTGCTCTTGCGTCTCTACAGCAGACCTGAGTAGTTACGACAGACTGATGGGCCCACAGTTCAAGATATTTATTATCTGGCCATTTACAGAAAAAGTTTGCCAATCCTTGGTCAGGGGCATAGGGAAGCAATCAGAGCAACCTCCTGACGGTCAACATTATGGGAAAGACTCAAGTTAAAGGGGACCAGATTACACTGTGCATTGAGGAAAACAGGTGGCTGGCTATTTGTGGGGCACAGAAGAGATGACAGCAGTCTAATATCTCTGGGTACAAGATGGGCATTTGTCCCTCCTCCACCAGGGTGCCCCCTCCCTTGCCTCTGTCATGAGCAGACCCCCAGAAGGCTCAGCGTAAAGGACACGTCTTTAGGGAAACATCCCCCTTCCCTTCCCCGACTGAGTCTCCCAGCCGTCTCAGACAACGCTTCTAGCGCTTCTCCTTTCCATCACTCATCACCATGGTAATTAAATAAATATTTGCAGGATCCTTGGTTTACTGCCTGTCCCTCCCCCCTGGACCGGAGGTGCTGTGGTGTAATGACTAAGAGAGCAGACTGCAGACACAGGCTGTGCGGTTCAATCCTGGCTCTACCATGTACTGGCTGGGTAGCTGGCTCACTTACCCTCTCCTGGCCTCAATTTCCTGATTAGCAAAATGGGAACACTGAGAGTCCCAGATCACTCAGGGCTGTGAGCATTAGCTAAGGTAATAAGATGGAAGGTGCATAAAGCAGGGCCTGCAATATGCTAAGAGTTCAATAAATATATCATCCTTTCTTTCGTTCTCCCTCTCTCCCCCTCTAAACCTGACAGGTTGTCCCCATTTTCCTGCACTTGAGACAAATCATGATGGTGCTGCCTGTTCCATCCTGTTTTCTTTGACTTTTCAGCTCTGAAGTCCTCCTGGGTTTGGCAGTCATCTGCCACCTCCTGGGCTTCCTTTACCCTTATCGTTCCAACTCCAATATGTTTTACTCCTCCTGTGAGCATACTGGCACAGCGAACTCTTTGAAGCCTCCTTGACTAACCTTTCTGCTCAACTGCTAGGCCATGTGTGACCTCAGAGAGAATAAACTCAGAGGCTTCACCATCACCTCTCAATCCTAGAGAGTCAG